ATTAAGGAAATCCTTTGTTTGTGAAGATACACAAGATAGCGTAGGTGAATGTGCCTAGCACAGTGCCTGCCTCAACAGTCGAGTGCTTCCTTCCTCTGAGCTGTTGTCCCATCTGCTGGGCCCTTTGTGGGGTGGGATTCATGCACAGAAGGGCAGTGTGGACACCACTAGAGGTGGCCGTGCTGGAAAACACAGTAGAATGCCCTGCTCCTGACAGATGGAGACAGAATCTGAAAGCTCCCCTCTAGCTAGTCCTCTTCCGTCCTTCAGGCTACAGGGACCACCCAAGGGTGAGGTAATCCTGCCCCCCCCCCACTGCTGAGAGCAAGCGGTGGGGCTGCCACGCACTAACCAGCCTTTGAAACCACAAGAACCTGGGTCTAAGGCCACAGTTGACTGACCTGACTACCATGTTTACCAACCCGAAGTTCCCCATTTGCAAAGAAAACCCAGAATCCCCACAAGTTCTCTCGGCCTCAGGTAAGCCCAAGTGGGTTTTTCAGGTTATTAGGTCACCTCTTATTTTTTTTCAACCAGTTTCGTCAGTGTTAATCTCTTACCTCATGAAAGCTTTAGCATTTTCAGAATTTTTTTTTTTTTTAAAGATTTTATTTATTTATTTGAGAGAGCGAGAAAGAGAGAGCACATGAGAGGGGGGAGGGTCAGAGGGAGAAGCAGACTCCCTGCTAAGCAGCGAGCCCGATGTGGGACTCGATCCCGGGACTCCAGGATCATGACCTGAGCCGAAGGCAGTCGCTTAACCAACTGAGCCACCCAGGCGCCCCAGCATTTGCAGAATTCTTTTTGAAGACCTAGGGAAACCGAATTTGGGACCTCTGCGAAGTTTGCCCTTCCCGTTTTAAAAGAAACCTTTGCTCGTTTTCTCGCTGTTTTAGCACAGTGAGAGAACTTAAAAAGAAAGTGTGTGGTGACAAAACAGAAAATAAAGGAGAGAGCACAGGAGGTGTGTCCAGGGCTGAGGGGGAGGCTGCAGGACCTGCGCTTGGCTTCTGAGTCCAGGTGACCTGGGCCAATGTCTGTGGTTCCTCACCCATTCACAGCCTCTTAAAGTCTAGTCAGAGGACAAAGGCAACAAGAAGTTGCCTGTGGGAACCCTACTTCCATTTCAACACAAATTCTTAAACATATCCCTGATATTCTGCCTCAGCCTACCTTCATTAAGTCCTTAAAGGCTCTAGGGTGGGTCACGTGGCTCTAAGAACCAGTATCCCCCACCACTGCCCCAAATTGTGACAGGAAAGCTAAAACCTGGATTTCCTCTGACTGACTCATCTTGTGGAAAGAGAAGCCTCTGAAGGCAATAGAGGACGGCGGGGAAACTTTGCTCTACTCCCGGAGGTACAAATGCTGCATATCTCAAGCCTAAAGAAATCTTTAAATTAAAAGGTGTTTGTTTTTTTTTAATTGGTACCTGATATTGTCATGACATAGATGATGGCCTTCAGTTAGGGCCTTCAGTGAAGTCAGGTTCAAACCCAGTCGCTGGTTTGGAGGGCCATTCCTGTGATTGCGGTTAAGACCCGTCTCTGATAAGCAGGTCTCAGAAGGACTGAGCCTGACCAGTGACACGGCAGGAAAGAAATGCAGGGTAGACTCCTATACCAAGCACTCTTTTCCAAAGGGAAGGCTACAGCTGTAGGGCATTTAATTTTCATAATTGCTTTTTTTCATGCATGCTGTGTGAGCTTCATGGAGGGGGTAGGAGGAGAGAGATGTTGGACTGGAGCAAATGGAAGGTTTCATAGGACCAGGGTCAGGAGAGGAGAGGTTTAGATAAACAGGAGACAGCAGAGATAATAAAGGAACAGAAGAATCAGGAAGTTAAGAAAGTCTTAAAAAGGAGAAAGACATGTGAAAAGTGGAAGTTAGCTCTTAAGACAGGCCAGTTGAGGAAGGGCAGTTGATAACGAGTATTGATAAAAATGAAACCAACCGCTACTTCCATTTGAAAACAAACATGTTGCACATGCTGGAGATCCTAGCACAGGAGGGCCCATCTAGGGCCGAGATTCAGGGCCCTTGCCGGCTGGCCCCTCTCACTGCCAAAACTTAGTCTTCCTGGGTCTCACTATTGAATAACGTTGGGCTATCATGGGCTAATGAGTGAACTGAATCTATTCCACTTCACCAATTGACGAATATATCACCTATTTGAGAAAATTAGCTATTAATAGCCACGTCTGGGCCGTTGGATAACTATTGATTTATTTAATATCTCTGGGTCTCCATTTCCTTACATTAAAGGAGTTGGACTTAATACGTGAGAACGAGGGGATATTTGAGTGGGGCTGCAGAATGACAATGGAAGGGGAGGGCTCCAGGGTGCCATACACACAAGGTAAGAGAGGAGGAAGGTTGTCTAAAGGAAATGAACGTAGCAACAAAATTGCCTGAGAGACTGCAAGCTGAGCATAATTACGGTTGCATCCTCAAGGGGTAAGGAAGAGCCGTGCAACATATCCCAGAGGGGCCCAGACTTCCTATTATGTTTATTAATCATCTTGATGAAAATGGAAAGTCTGCATTGATTAAATTCACTAATGATCCTAAACTGAGCAGGGGAGTAAATTCTAGAAACGATGGATTTGTAAGGTGAGTGGTAATATTAATCAGCTCATCTTATGAAAAGGGTGGCAGTAAATGAAATGGGATTTGCCATAGATAATGGCAGTGGGGTATACCTGGGGGGGGATTATAATGAGCCTGGTTCCAAACTAAGAAGCTGTTATTTAGGAAATAATAATGGGAGGAGAGCTCTAAAGTGGAGAGTGAATAATAAATTAAAAACAAGCTTAAAATAAATTCTCATTATGGATCACAATTTCACTCTCAGCACTTTTGTGGTAGGCTGAGGGAGTGTAGAAGAACCTTGGGGGGCCGCTTTCACATTTTGAGGTGAGGGAACTGGGAACTGCGACCCAGAGAGGTTAGGCATGGGTCGCTAGTCAGGGGTGGCAAATCCCAGGCACACTCACTACCACCCTGTACCCTGCCGGGGGTGACGGGAGATCACCACTCCGGAGAGGCCTACACGTAGCCTGAGAATCCTTCACAACACAGCACACGAAGCTGGCTCTGATTCCTTGGCTCATGAGGTGTTTGTTATCTTTTGCCATCTCTCGCTTGGGTCAGCGAGCTAGACATTGACAGAGTCATGGCTAAAAACTAGATTTCCTGATCTGTCGCTTTTGCTCTGTTAAGTTCTAAACCGTCTACAGTCAACACTGACCTGAACCTCAAACACTCAGAAAGCAGAACTGGCTTCGTAACCAGCGTTCTCCTCTTGGTTTCCAACATGCTGGTTTGAAGTCCCTGGACAGCATTTAAAAAAATCTCTGAAGCTCTATGTGTAGGAATGTTGGGGAGATGCTCAGAAATATCAATAAATTCGGAGCCAACGAGTTTTGTGCCCTTGGGGAATAACATACACCGTTCAAAAAAAATGTGACCAAATGTAAGTAATGAAAATTCAGTTCTACCACAGGCATTTGATAAAAGGAATAATCTTGTTAAAAATTTCCTGGGACTGATTAATGTTCCGTTTGTTTTGCTCTTGGTGAGCAAAGCAAATCCACTCTGTGCAGAAGCAGCAGTGTGGAGGGAGGTCCTGTGTGTGCAGGGTCCGGGGAGCCGGGGGGGGGGACGTCAGCCTAGGGAGAAGAGGAGGCAGGGAAGATTGGCCTTGGCAGAATTGGGAGGGACAGAATTCCTGTCCCTCTTCCCAGGAAGGCTGTGCTGCCCCTCTGAGTTCCAGTGGGGTGATTTGGGGGCGCCCCCATAAGGCTGTGCTGATTGTGTGTTGCACAACTCTAGCTGGGGCCGTGCCCCTTTTCAAGCTCTGCATGGCCGGTCCCCTGGCAGACTCACAGCCGCGCGGCAGTTCTTAGGTCTTTTGTGATCTCACCTGTCTTTCCGTGGAGATCTACCTGATACGGGTCTAATCTGACTCACATCCTCATAATCTAATGGGTCACTGCCCACGAATTTCCTGAAGACCCACCCGTTAGCCTAAGTGAATGCCTTAAATAGAAAATTTTACAACAGGCCTGAAAGACAGGCCTTAAGTACGCTCTTCAAACGATCGTTGGACGCCCCACAGGACAAGTGAGAGAGAACATTCACACGCTCGACCAGCCAAAACCACAAAGTTAGCTCCCTGGACCTCATAATTGTTTAATTTGTCCAGCACTTTGCAGCTTGCAGAATCCTGTCACCCCGTGGCCTCCATCTAAGAGCTCTGGAGCTGGATTCTGCCAACCTCAGTTTGAATCCCATATCTGCCACTCGCTGGGCATGCAGAGTTAAGCAAATTGCCTAAACTTTGAAAGCTATTTTCTCATCTGCAAAATACGTTTGTTGATAAGATTAACGAAGGTAATGCATGTGAAGCATTTAGCAGTGCTTGGCAAACAGCCATCAATAAATGTTAGCTATAGTCATTATTTTTTATTTCACAGTGCCCTGTGGGGCAGGTGAGGTGGATATTATGTGCTTTGTCCTGGGAACCCAAGCAAAGTCAGAAGGGATTTTTTCCAAGGGAATGTGGTCATTACGTACCAAAGCTGGGCATTACATCTGTGCTATGGAAGGACGACTCCCATGTTCCTTCCACTGGTCCGCATTCTCGAAGATCTCATGCAACACTTAACCACATTCGTCCACATCCTCAGGCTGCATGGTTGCAGCGCACACGAGATGGGTTAGCTGCCTTTTCACTGTCTACCTCTGTCCTAAAACGTCGATGGAAACCCAGTACACCCAGGCAATGACAAACACAGGCTGTGAATTTTCTATCTTTAAGGTGCAAGGCCACACCCTCCAGGTTGTGGGATAGCCATCTGAAGCCGAGTGAGCACGGCAATGGTCAAAAGGGCAGTAAACTGAGAGAAGATGAGGCATTTTGGGTCCATGAATGTGTTCACTTTCCAGGATTATCAGTTTTAACCATGAGAAGGTCACTCGCTTTAAAAGAGACTTACCCACATGTACAGGTTGGCTCCACTCACTCCAAAACCCCATCTGTCTGCACACAGAACTCACTGCTGCTCTCACTTGAACGGAATACTTAGAAATATCATCAATTATCGAGATGAATGTATTCGTCGTCATTTTTTCTGTCTAAATGAGGAAAAAAAATAGCATTATAAGAATCTTTGGACACGTAATTTAAGTAACGTCAGTTATCAGAATGGAAGGCCGTACCTAAGTAATGTGACTCACCGTTACCTGACCCATTTAAAATCCATAGGACATACATTGATTTGTTTATTCTAGAAGGCTTCAGTATGGATGTGCCGGCAGCTACCCTCCAGGGCAAGCGATCTCGTAACCAAAATCAAGAAAAAGTCAATCATAACATCTAGATAATTTATCTGGGCCCAGCTGATGTTTCCAGATGAAGTGACTGGAGTGGCCGATGGTAGAACGCATAATCCCCCTCCTCTCGTCCTTCCATATTGTCAAATTACTAAACGATATCACCTGGTTTCCATCCTATTCAGCGGGCATCACCAAACTACAACATGTGGGCCAGTCTGACCCGCTGCCTCTTTTCGTAGGGCCTGCAAGCCACGGATGGCTTCTATATCTCTAAATGATTGAAAAATATCAAAAGTGTATCTCATGACACATGAAACTGAAATTTCAGTATCCACAGGTAAAGTTTTACTGGAATACACCTGTGCCTATTTGTTTACATATTATCTATGGCTGCTTCTGTTCCACAGCGGTAGATCTGAGTAATTGTGATAGAAACCAAAAGGCCTGCCAAGCCTAAAATATCTGGCCATTTACAAAAAAAAAAAAAAAAAAAAAAGTTTGCTGAACGCTGATGTATAGGAATGTCTCAAATAACTGGAGCCAGGGAGGGCGCCATGATAGAGAAGAGGAAAGAGCAAGAGTCCTTGAATCTAGGAAGGGCTGTGTTTGAATCCTATGCTCCAAACTAGCTGCAAGGCAAATTCCTTGACCTCTCTGAGCCTGTTTTCTCATCTGTAAAATGGGAATAACAGCACTGAGCATGAATTATTGAACTAAACGGTATCTTTGTAATTCCAAGTTTAAGGATGTATTGGGTTGAATCCTATGAAAACTGTCAATATTCAACCCATCTTTGAGCAAAAACAGCAATGTTGGTTAGTTCAGTACAATAACGCAGACTCAGGAAATGCTAGTTTGCCACAGGGAATTTGGGCTAACATTGTCCAGTGTTACAGCGAGGCTATCTTCTCACAAATGAGCCTTTCTCCGTTACTCTCTCTGCTGGTCAGTGTCCACACCGTTCACCTAATCCTTTATGCCCCAGACCAGAGATGCATCCCTGACACCTGCATCTTACATTCTTCTGGGTGTGTCTCCTTTACTCACCCCGCCCCATGACCACTGCCTGATTGGTCTTGTTATCTTTTGCTTGGCCATTTGCCAGAGCCATTAACCCCACATGCCTATGTCCACATGGCCCCCTCCACATGCATCCAGCTTTCATGCTGCTACCAAAATTATTCTTTGATTTTGCAGATGCGGTCGCATTTCTGTATTGAATAAAACCCTTCAGTGGTTTTTCTGTGCCTATGACAGTGGTTTTAAGAAGAGAAACCACATTTTTTTTTTTTTTTTTTTTTTTTTTTTTAGCAAAATCTCAGTCATTCGGGGAAAAGTCTCAGTGTAGGATCCAGACTTGTTATCCCAATGTTGGCTTTCTGTCCAGGCCGACTCACTTACTGCCACTTGGCTGGAGGAGCCATGCTCTCTTAAGCCTTTGAGTTCTGCCTTCTGCCTAGACCCCCTGCCACTTTGAACGTGCTTGGCTGACAGGGGTGGGTCAGGAGCTGTTTATTACTGAGCCGCAGGGAGGGAAACACAGAAATCAAAATGACAGTTGCAGAGCTCTTGTAGCAATTTGACTTTGCCACAACATCCAAGCCCATGATCGCCGGGCTTCTCTCTGGGCATATTTGGTTTTTCTGGCCTTTGATTTTTATTGTATTTTACAATTAGAAATTAAATGAGAAATCTAATTAAAAATTGGAAATTAGATTCAAAATTAAAAAAAAAAAAGCCAGTCTTTCAGCATAGGTGTTTGGGGAAGCGCTGGCTACAGAGGTTGGTCTCCTCTTCCAGTGTCACCAGGCATGATTTTGTTCAGTCTTCATAGCGGGGGCCCTCAGCGGGCGTTGCGTTGCCCACCCCCTCCTCTGGACCTCTGTTGGCTCTTCCAGTGACGCGGTGAGGGTGTCCACTAGACTAGGCCCCTTGATGGCAGAGACTGGAGTGGCCGATAGAGAAGTAAGATGTCTTACTTATCTTTATACTTCCCACGTAGAAACCAGTTTGTAAGTATTGGTTAAATCAAAGTGGATGGAAGGGAACCTGCTTTGCCTACTGTCAGTACGATGCCAGTGGTGATCCTAACTTCCCTATGCTCTGCCAGCTTAGTGACTTTGGGCCAGTGGCTTAATCTCTCTGCCTCACTTTCCTGCCTAATGGGAATGAGAGTGACTTAATGGAGTTACTGGGAGGATGGAATAAATTAGCATAATGAAGCTTGACCCAGAGCTGATGCTTCATAAATGCTGGCTGGCTTCTCAGTACCTTGACCCTTGAACTTTTTGTTCTTTAGTGCTAACGAGTATATTTCAGTTGTAGTGAAAAATAGGAAACATAAAATTTACCATCTTAACTATTTTTAAGTGTACAGTTTGGTAGCTGTGAATACATTCACATTGTTGTGCAACCATTTCCAGCACTCTTGTACCCTCCAATACCGAAACTCTGCTCATTGAACAACAGTCCCCATGCCCCCCCTCCCCCCAGCTCCTGGAAACCACCATTCTACTTTCTGTCTCTCTGCATTTGACTACTCTTGGTATCTCCTGTAAGTGCGATCCTGCTGTATTTGTCTTTTTGTGACTGGTTTATTTCACTTAACACAGTGTCCTCAAGGTTCATCCAGGTTGTAGTATGTGTCTGAATTCCCTTCCTTTTTAAGGCCGAACAACAGTGCATTGTATGGATAGACCATGTTTTGTTGATCCGCTCGTCATCTGTCAGGGGACACTCGCATTGTTTCCTCCTTTTGGCTGCTGTGAATAATGCTGCTATGAACATGGCTGTGCAAATTTCTCTTTGAGACGCTGCTTACAGTTCTTTTGGATGTATACCAAGAAGTGGAATTGTTGGATCACACGATAATTCTATTTTTGATTTTTTGAGAAACTGCCATACTGTTTTCCACAGTGGCTGCAACATTTTATATTTACACCAACAGTAGTGCTCATGAGTTTTTATCTGATCTTTGTGTTATCTTGAACCAAAAGTATGTCCTTTCAACACAAAAAGACAGTAAAGTTTGGTTTATTTTTGCAAAACTTGGATGGATATGTTACCTTTGACCTTGTTAGTACCAAGCTATAACCACAGCTGTCACTGAATAGAATTTTTAAAATGTTTCTAAGAGAATGCTATCATCAAAATTGGAATGATCTGAAGAATTACCTGAAAATAATTTTTCCTTGTGTTGTAAATCTTCACTTCATATTCAAAGCAATGATTTGGAAAAGCAGAAATGGGTTTCTCCCACTGAATAGAAAGACAGGTTCCTTCAGTCTCTGCTGTGACATTCAATGGAGGATTAATTCGATCTAGGTTAGAGAATGAAAGGTCAGTAGTCTGGGCTGATAAATCCAATCCACTCACACTCCTCAAGGCATTTCTAAGATACAATCTTCTCAAGTATCTACCCTCGGGATTTAACTAACTGATCCCCAGGCCACAAGACCCCAGTGGCTCACAGATGACTCCTACCTTGTAGCACTGAAGAGATCTCTACTGGAATCTTACAGGATTCCTATTCCAAATGGCACTGAGAGATGGAGTCCCTTTCCCCTTCAGCTCATTGCAAGACCCACCTCACTATCCCTGTTTCTCAAATGGGACCAAACAGGGTCAACCTCATCCTGGAGAGAAATTGCTCTGGAGCTTCCACTGAGCCCTCCCTCTACTGAACCAGGTGTGTGGCCCTGGGTAGTAATTCCCTCATTCTGAGCTTCAGTTTTGTTTCATTTTGTCTTCTTTGCCTTCTTTCAGATTTGTTTGGGGGATGGAGCAGGAAGGTTGAATATTCTCTTGCATAAGAAGAATGGATTGGGCCACATTTGTCTTAACTTAAACTCTAGAGTTCTTTTCCCTGACTTATCACTTGATTATCTTATAGCTTTGAGGTGTGGGTGGAAATTATTTCTAAGTGAGCGTTCTTCTCTTAGGTTATGGGACTTAGATCTTACAATTAATGAATCGTAAGGATAAGCTAAGAATGGGACCTATTGGTTCCAGAGCCTGCCATTCCCTAAGCAGAAAAAATTTAAGAATGTATTTCTTTTAGTAATATGAACAATTTGTCTCAAAGAAATGAAAATCATACAGGAAAATGAATTCCTGTGGTCTGTATCAGGTCGTGTCCATTTTCATATTAATATTTTTTCCTAGGTCTTCCTCAGCATTTTTTTATTACCAATTTTCAGGAAAGTGACATTTTTAGGTCATCTGAGAAAGACTATTGAATAGAAGTGCATAACCTCTTCAGTGAGATGGTTCTTTAAACAGTTCATTTCATAGAGATATAGGTAAATCCTGTCCCTTTAAATAATATTTTTTATATTTATAATTATGTATAATTACCAGGCGTTCTAAGCACTGTATGGTTATTAACGTACTTAATTCTCACAAAAGCCTTGCAGGAATTGTTAATTTCTCCCCATTTCTTTCTGATGAGAAGACTGAGGTACAGAGGAATGACCAGCTTGTCTACAGTCCCTCAGCTAGTCAGTGGGGGAGCCAGGATCCAAGCCCAGGCAGCCTGACTCCAGAGCCCATACCAGTAAATATGCCACAATTGAAATCTTGAGCGTTAGTAACAAGAATGCGACGTGAAAGGCTCCTGATGAGTTTCATTAGTACAAGTATCTAGGATGGAAGGAGACTATTTCTATTCTGAGAACCGAGCAAATGAAACTTTAAATAATACATTTAGATCTGAGAATCATATGCTGAGCAAAACATTTTCGGATCACCCAGAGGAGACAGACCAGAATGGTAAAGGATCCTAAGAAGAAAGCAAGAGGAATTGGGGGTGGGAAGCTTGGGGAAGAGAAATCTCAGGATGAGAAAGCTGGCTGTCTTTGATTAGCTCTGAAACCATTTGGGGGGGTGGGAAGGGATGAGAATTATTTGGGGTTGGTACCAGTCCATCACAGGACCAATGGGCAGAAACTTCATGAAATGAGTCAGAGCTGAGAAAGGGCTGCTTCCTTCAGCAGTGAGTTCATATTCCCTGGTTCAGTGATTCTCCCATGGTAGAGATTCTGTCCCCCACGGGACATTTAGAAATGTTGAGAGACATTTTGTTGTCACAGTGTGGGGTGGGGGGGGTAGAGAGATACTACTGATCTAGTAGGTAGAGACCAAGGATGCTGCTCAAAATCCTGCAAGGCACAGGCCAGCTCCCACAAGACAGTTATCCAGTTAAGAATATCAGCTGTGCCTAGGTTGAGAAAGCTGGTCCCTGTGATTGTCAGGCAGGGGACAGATCGCATTTAGCATCGGAAAATTAGTCAAACTAGGTGATCTTTATAACCCCTTCCAATGCTGGGATTCTGCGATTTGGTTATTTCAGCTCTGAGTTAAGTCTGCCTTACCAATTGCATGCAGAGCAAACAGCTGATCAAAAGGCTTGATTGTAGCATGCTTGCTTGAGCCGTTAGCATGCACTGCCAGGGAGTCGCTCCCTCTGCTACTGATAAAAGTCCTCAGAAACCAACAGGCAATATTTCTCTTCAGCGTGTCTTTCCTATACTCCTGGCACTCTTCGGTCGAGGAGCCATACCTAAATGGCAACACTCATAAGTTTTTAAGACGAGAGGCAACAATGCTTTTTCATAAGTAAACATAGCTACTCACCTGTAGTAGAGGAAATACTGCGTATCCTCAGGGGCATCCTTGCCAACGAGCCAGGTACAGTAAAGAGAAACTTGGTATGGCCTTAAGGGATTATAGTTATTTAATGTGGTGTTCGTAGTACACGTTAGATTCACAATCGAGGTTCCAGGAGACCCTAGATGGTCAATAAGAGGGTCAAAAATAAGAAAACATTGCCATGACAGCTTTTAAATCTTGTACTTCCTCTGAAACTAGTGATTGGGAACATCTTACCATGAAAAAGTAAACATTATCATAAATTTCTAGAAACCTTTTTGCAAAGCGCCAGCTTATTGGGGGGATGAAGCTAGGATTACAAAGCCTGAGTTTCTGGAATTAAACTTTCTGGCTACTTTGGGCTACGGGAGTGTGTCTGCGTGATATACTTGCATGAAAATTAAAGAGCAGTACAAGAGATTGTCATTCAAAGCTTGGTATTCTAATGCCATATTTTTCAACAATGAACTGTGACACTTTGAACCCCACTATTCTGGACCTCAGTTTTTCCAGCTGTAAATGGGAGAGTTGACAGAGGAAGGTCTCTAGCGCCACTTTGCATCCTAGAATTATGTGATTCATTAGGTCGCACCCAATGGTCCTGAATAACATAGATTGCCGCTCCGAAGGAAGTGGGTTCTGGCAGCACTGAAAAATAACACTTCCTTGGGTGCCTGGGTGGCTCAGTCAGTTAAGCATCTGCCTTCTGCTGAAGTATGATCCCAGGGTTCTGGGATCAAGCACTGCGTTGGGCTCCTTGCTCAGCGGGGAGTCTGCTTCTCCCTCTCCTCCCTACTCTTGCTCTCTCTCACTGTCTCTCTCACTATCTCTGTCTCTCTCATATAAATAAAATCTCAAAAACAAAACACTTCCTTGGAGACTCCATGCACACTAGCCTGTTGAAATCAGCTTTACTGTGCAAAGATATTAAGGGGATCTTGTGATTTTTCACCAAACGCATTATGTTCATTTCACCCAGGATTTCTGAAGATTATTTGACTAGAAAGCCTTATTTTCATTTCAAACTGCACTGTCACCATGTTAATTGGGGCTCTTCAGAACACACCATAGTGGAGACACTGGCCTTGTGGTTGCTCACAGGAGGGAAAAAACACTTTGGGCTGAGGGTCAAGGAGGACCTCATCAAAGTGGGAGCCTTGAGATTGAATCTCCAGTGATAGAAGGGGGTCTCAATTCATATTTATCACTGTCAGCCAGCATAGCTCAAGGGGGAGAAAAGACAGACCCCTTTTGTCCACAGAGAAGTTGGACAAAAGGGACACTGTTTAGTTTGTGTTATTACCACGCACCATCAGATAGGTTTTTTCTCTATATTCATATACAACAAATGTACATAGACTTATGTGTATGCCTTGTACTCAGTGTATTAAATGACCAAATATTCCACACCCAAGTATAGTTTGGAGTCTCCTGTAATCTGTTTGTCTCCCACCTCTCTTCCAAGGAATTATGTGGTGTGAATTCAGGTTGATTCAGGAGAGAATTAATTTTTTATTCATGTCACTGTATATTGGCATGCTCAGAGAATAATTAGAATTGCAGACATGTAATTCTGAAAGATGCATTACAGGTATACTCCTGTTACTGAGATGTGGAAAAGTAGTTTAAGGCAAGGCACACAGAGGTCTGTATTTGTGATCTTGTGTCTACCTTGAATTAGTCTCTGAACTTGGAATCAAGGCCATTGTGAATTGGCTGTTCTATGGTCTACGCAACATGTTAGAATGAGTCAACAGCTGTTCACAGGGCTGCTCTCGGTCATCGACACAATTCAGAGAGTGCACAGCCTTTTCATTCAGTGATGTGACGAGACGATGGTTGGACGATTACCCATGGGCCAGACGGGCCAAGACAACAGTTACTAGGAACACTCACGTAACCTGGGACGTGGTGATCCTTCTGTCTTTCCCTGGTGTGGGTGTGTGTGTTTCCAAGGCTTTAATCCCAAGTATCACTGATTGTATGTATTAGAAACCCCAATTTCCCACCAAAGGACAGTGTAGACAGTGGATGCTATCTATCCTCTTTCTTCATGGTGGGTTGTTCAGTGTTGTGACTTCTGTGAACCACCAGCAGCTTCCTTAAATTTGGTACGACAAGTCCTAGAGTGCAGAACGTCACAAACAGGACAGGAGGAAACGCTCCTTCTCAAGTGTGCACTGCTTGTTCTACTGGCTCAATAAAGCAAGAGACACTGTCCCTGCCCCCCAAAGTCTTATATTCAGAGGTGGCAGGCAGGGTATAAAGCTATTTATTTGTGAAAGATAATGGCATATGTGCCAAATGAGTAACACAGCTCATGAATGGGTTTTGAGGAGGAAGAGACTCCTTCAGTGTACAGGATGAAGAGTAAAAGGGCTTTCTAGAGGAGGTACAACTTGATTTGGGCTTTGAAGTATGGAAAGGATTCAGAAAAGCAGGCAGAGAGGAATCCAAGAGAGCAAAGCCTCTGAGGCAAGAAAAAGCTTCTGTGTGTGTGTGTGGGGGCGGGGGGAGGTCAATGTTAGAAATCTGCGAAAAGCAGAGGAATCATGTTGGGTATGGTTAGAAAATGTCTTACAGCCCAATTATGAAAGACCTGATTGGCCTTAATTTTGCTGATGACCCTGTGACTTGGGAGCAGGGGAGTGAGAAGCATGAGCTATGTCTGCAGGGATGCACCAGATGGAATGGGGTGGGTTATGACGATAAGTGATCACAGCCTCGGTTAGGATGTTGATGAGGAGGAAGAATACTTAGCAGAAACTGCTGACGGACTATGAAAAAGAAAAGCCAGTTACTTTTCCAGCTTTGCCTGATCTCCAAAGTCAGGAATACAATACAAGGCTGTTAGGAGCCTGCCTTACCCGGTGGGGCTTTAAGCTCAGCAGAAACCCAGTTGCTTGCCAGGAGGGAGTGGCCATTCCATGGGATGGTCTGCACACTTGCTGAAAAGCCTTGATGAAGAACGGTTACGCGTTTGCTTTCGGTGTTTCTGGTTTCATACTAAAAATAAACCCCACAAGTCATGATGCAGAAAAGGGAAAGAGCATTAAGAGAGCTATTTTAATCCAATAGGCATTTTCTTCCACTTTTTAAATGGCATGTAAATAAAATGCAGGGAAGTAGTTTGTATAGAAAAAAAATTAAGCACATGATTTTACAGGTACATATCTGCTTATCCCCAAGCTCATCAAGTTAGGTAAATACGTACAGCTTTTTCCACACCATTCACACCTCAACGAAGTTGATTTTAAAAAATGAGCAAGTAAATAAATGACCCAATTCTAGCATTTGGGTGTTAAAAAAAAAACCATACAATAATATATAATTCCTCAATGATAGATGAACACATTCCTATAAAAACAAACAAAATACTACGATTAAGGCTCACATTCACTTCAGCCATCACCTCTAAACCCAGTCTCTTCCCCAGAGGTAATTTTCTAAGGGAAAATTCTCTAGAATTCCATATTGACTGAAAAAAATGGCTAATACTAATCGCTTCTCCCTTCATTTCATTTTACTGCACATCTCTTAGGTATCAGATGCTTTAACATAATCCCTGCAGTGGGATACGGCAAAGCTGCGTCTCTGAGACGTACAGTGACTGGCCCAAGGTTGCTGAGGCAGGAAGTGACTACACCTGGATTCGAACCCCACTGCCTCCCATTTTATGCCCTGCTCTCTTCTCTATCCTTTTCTCTTTGCCTATTTTCAAGTATCAAATCCATTTTACCTTCAAAGTCCCTAAACGTTCTTTTCTTGGTGAAAGAATCGGAGCAAAGTTAAAAGGTTCTGTGCAGCTGTCGAATGCTAAGCAACATGCACAGCACTGGTTCATGGTCATTTCAACAGACACCCTACTCTGCTTGGAGCCTAACAGAAAACCCTTGGGTCGATTTTTTTTTTTTTTTTTGGTAACTTAAAAGTTAATTTGATAGGGAAAATGCAGTCAAAGTTAAAAGTGACTCTAAAGGGCGCCTGGGTGGCTCATTTGGTTAAGCAACTGCCTTCGGCTCAGATCATGATCCTGGAGTCCCGGGATCGAGTCCCACATCGGGCTCCCTGCTCAGCAGGGAGTCTGCTTCTCCCTCTGACCCTCTTCCCTCTCGTGCTCTCTCTCTATCTCATTCTCTCTCTCAAATAAATAAATAAAATCTTTTTTAAAAAGTGACTCTAAAGACAACTGTCAGAATAAATACTTACATCATCTTCTTGAGGAGCATTTATTCTCACGTGATACCCTAGCTCGACATCCTTTGGCTCTTGATCAGGATTTGGTTCCCAGCGTAAAAGGACTTGGGCTAGACCAATAACTTTGATGGTGAAGTTGGCAGGTGGGAGAAGTAAAGCTGTTGATGAAAAGGAGCCACATGATGTTCAATTGTACGGAGGCAGCACTTTTAAATTTTTCAAGGACTTTAGTGTGGAGTAAGGATCTTATTATTAGAGTGTATAATACTGAAATAATTTTGGAAAATTTGCTTTAAAAAACTGCTTTTAACTCCTTATCTTTCTAACTTTGCCCAGGTATTTCCCTATAGCATATACAAGTTTTTACTGAAATATGAATATTTTAATATATCATTCCTTATAACTCTAGTTTTCAAACTGAGGGCCATTATCTATAAATTGGCTAGAAAAACTTACTGGTTTGTGGCTAGAATTTTTTTTTAATGACATGGAAGAAAATAGGATAGAAAATATCAGGGTCCATGAAACATAATTACTATTTCATGAACCTCTTATTTCCACTACATGAATGTACTTAAATATTTGTATTTGTACTGGTTCTTGATGTAAAATTAATTTATTTCTCATTTTGATTCAAAGTCAAAACAATTTGTGAGCAAAACTACTTAGACTTTAATAGAAAATAGGGTTTTTTTCTTTGAACCACTGTTTTCAAAATAAAAACTTTCCTTTAAGCACAGGTGAGCAAAAAGAGAAAAATTACCTCTAATCCTGCAACTGAGAAGAGTGTTAATATGTGATATATTCATTAGTTTTTGTCCTTGGCATACGTTGCTACAACTTGTTAAATTGTTTCCTAAAACTAGGACAATATTGTACACACCATTAGGAAACTGACTTTTATTCCTTTACTACATGGTTAAGATATTTCCATTGACCTTTAATTTTGAATAGCCTTCTATAACTCTGCGTCTATACTTGCCACATACTTGCTCTGTCTATATCGCACTGTCCATTATGGTAGCCACTGGCCATATATGGCTATTTAAGTGTAAGTTAAACCAAATGTTCATTACCTTAGTTGCACAAACCATATTTCAACTACTCTGTAGTCACTTATGTATAATGTCTACTCCATTGCACAATGGGGATATAGAACAGTGTCCTTATCATAGAAAGTTCTCTTAGACAACACTACATATGGACCATATGATAACTTTCTTTTCTTAGGCTCTGTCCTTATACCATATCCATAGATCAACAAGTTTCTGAACTGAAGCGTAGTGGAAGTTTTTATTCTTTGGTTGTGAGGACTTGTAACCAACCCCTTGCATGCGAAGGCATTTCACATGCGGCTGCCAGCTCCAGCTCTATTCCATAGAGCCCGTACACCCACACTCAGAATATGATTTCCCAGTGTAGCATAAAATTGGCATTCCAGCCAACTTTGCTTTCTTAAAGTACAGCACATTGAAAACGTTTGTATTCTGAAAAGAGTAAATATTCTTCTTTTAAAAAAATCCATACATAATTTCCTAATTGAGGGATTATTTAGGAAAAAATAATGCTATCTTTTTTGTAATATACTTTTTTTTAAAGAAACACTACTGAATTTAATAGATGGTACCTACATTTTTTATCGGGAAGTAAGTCTGCTCTTGGTATCACCATAGCCCACAACAGAACCAGTAATGCAGGCGCCATGATAATCACATCCTACAGAAAACAGAAGGATGAAGATCCCAATCACCACCAGTTGCCATTTTTAAGAAAAACTGGAAGCTACCTTTTAATATAAAATGTAGTCCTTTTCCCATTTAACAGTTCTGAACTATCTGTTATGTGCTAGAAATATAAATATGAACAGATGTTGGGTTTTGTCTTTAAAATGTGGAGCCATAGTCTGAGGGGCAGGATGAAATGTAAATGAATAATTGTAGTCCAGTTAAACACTGTTGCAATAAAGGTGTGAATGGGGCACAGTAGGAGCCAAGAGACTTCTGAATTGAGAAGGATTAACTAGAGTTTTTTTTTTTTTTTACGATTGATTTATTTAGAGGGAAAGAGAGAGAGAGAAAGAGGGAGAGGCAGAAGGAGAGGGAGAGAGAGAGTCCCAAGAAGACCTGGTGCTGAGCACAGAGCCCGATGCAGGGCTCGATCTCATGACCCCGAGATCAGGACCTGAGCCGGTCACTCAACCGATGGAGCCATCCAGGTGTCCCTTAACTAGAGTTCTTGACACACCAAGGGGAAAGGCAGTCCTGGTGGAATCCACAGCAAAGGTAAAGTCAGAAGAGCAAAAATTGAGTGGGTGAGGTTGGGTACTGAGTGGGAGACCAGAGCAGATCTTTGAAGAGTAAAAATTCTAGGCACTGTTATTCAGATTGAAAATAAGCATCATTCCAATTTTTCATTAACAAGTATTTAAATACGGGCCAACATGACAAGAAACTTTAAAACAATTTTAATGTGGGAAAGAGACAGTTTGTATCACAAACCTGGAATATTATGGCACTTTAAGCTTTGGAGAGGTTAAATATGTTGATGAATCCAAATAGGGGCGGGCCATCAAAGGAATTAAAAACATAGTTACAGGCCTGAGGAAAATATACACGGTCTTGCTACCTACTTGAAACAACTGGACAATGAAACTGAAGCTAGAGTAGTAATGTTATAATAACTCAGCTATGGCAGTCTGGAAAGTGTGGTTGTTAACGTCAGCATCTTGTTGACACGTTGTCGAAGAAGGGAGTGGATCCCTTGTTGGGAATTATCGATTAGAAATCTTGAGGGTTTCCTCTGAAGATATTGAAAGGCATTTTTCACATGGACGGATTTTAAGGAACGAAGAATGTTCACAGCTTCTCCGTGTTGTGTTGTGTTGTGTGCTCTTCTGGCTTTTACAAAGCAGTTCTTCCTTTTAGTTCTCATGCCCCACCCCCCCGCTTTGATTCAGTGCAGGGTCCACATGGTTATTACCCAAGTGGCAATGAAGAAAAGGAGTCTGAAAGCTTAAATAATTTTCCAAAGATCAAACAACTTGTAGAAAATGGAATTTGGACCCAGTCTTGGATTTACCAACACCGAAGCCTGTGTTCTGTACTAATATAAATGACTTCTAGTTTTCAGTTTAAAAATTTATTTAAAAAGGGGCGCCCAGCTGTCTCAGTTGGAAGAGCATGTGATTCTTGGCCTCGGGGTCATGAGTTTGAGGCCCACATTGGGTATAGGGATTATGTAAAGTACAACATTTTTTTAAAATTTATGCAAATGGGCTGGTATTTAGCAAATATAATGGTAACCACAGAAAGACTTTTGGCCAAATGGCAAAAAAAAAAAAAATTCTTATTATTTTTTAGCTCACTATTTAACCAACTTATTACTTACCTTACTACTATCACTCTTAACTTTGTAATGAAATTAGTAAAATATCACAATATAGAAGGTAGCAACATCATACAAATCATTCAATTTCTTTTTCTTTTTTTTTTTTTTAAGATTTTATTTATTTATTTGAGAGAGAGAGAGAGAATGAGAGATAGAAAGCACGAGAGGGAAGAGGGTCAGAGGGAGAAGCAGACTCCCTGCTGAGCAGGAAGCCCGATGCGGGACTCGATCCCGGGACTCCAGGATCATGACCTGAGCCTTCGGCTCAGGTCA